CAATTTTAATGCTCAACAGAAGCAAGGCAATTGTCTTTTGTGTTTCTCTAGATGCATATAACACAACTCTTGCTATTATGTAAAACATTAATGTAAAATTACCAAATTTAAAAACTACTTTTCAGCACACATAAGAAATGGCAGAACACTTGATGAGGGACATTTCAAGCTCTGGGACACTATATCTTTTTTTCTACAAGAGACTGAATAGGAAGACAGGTATTTATTGTATTTTTCTATTTAAGTATGCTTAAATATGCTTACTTTCTTGCCTTTCTTCCATCAAGGAACTGAAGGTGACATACAAAGATTTCAAAGATAACCACCAACCAAACCATGACCAGTTTAACTTCAGTGAGATAGCTGTATCATCTGATCTCAAAACATATTCTGGACTCATGTGGATTTGCATAACATCAGATGAAAACTGAGCTCTTAGGGAACAAGGGAGCAAGACTACAGCTCAATCACCTGTAGTTAGGGCACCAAGATGGATGATATCAAAACAATGTTTATTTTCCCCCCGAAGATGACCACAAGACCATTAGAAACCAGGACCAGGATTGCTTTATAGGGAGATATAAGCTCTTTCTTGTGACTCCACCCGTACCCATTTTCCATCACAGTTATTCTCAGAGTTTGTGTTGAATAATACTTACTAATTCTGTTTTTAAAGATAATTTTGACCCCAAACCCATCTACAAATATTAAAAGCAGACTGCACTTCCATCTCAATTGGTAGATACAAACAGTGGTTATTTTAAATACTTTTATTTGCTTATTTATTTTCCATGGGTAATTTAACAGCTCTAACCACATTTCCCCTAAGTCAACCAGAATCAGAAGTTTTTCAGATCTTTGGTTCTGTTAAAAACAATGCCAGCTAATGTTTGAAGCTAAGAAACGGCAGCATCTGACACTTCAGAGGCAGATGAAGACAACAGAAAAGAGAAAGTAATAATAATGGCCTTTTTGTAAGTAATTTTTCTCCCATTAAATTATAAAATGTAATTTTTAGTTGCAGGTTCTAGCTACTGTAATCTTTTGTTCTGTTCACAAATAAGTTGCAATTTAATGGATTGTCTACTTCTAAGGTGGTATAATTATGTTATATTTGTGTCAATTGTACAACATTTTGAAAACTATAGAGTTAAAAAAATCCAAATTCATAATTTTTGTTGCTGCAGGCACTTCTCATTACTGTTTCAGAAGATGTTGTTCCAGTGAAAAAGAAAGTTTGCAAGGTTCCCAGAAATGTTTTACTTGCAGGTAGGGTCACGTTTAAGACTACCTCTCTCCTCTAGTCTTCGTTATTAATTTTATTTTTGAGGCCTTTTTGGAATACACTTCATCCTTCCTAACAGATTGATACACTGCATTCTTCTACCAACTCAGAGTTAAACTTAGTTTTGCTGAAATGGTTGTACATATAATTCAAATTTACTGGTAACGATGAAATACTTCCCATAAGAATCCCACCAGGAATTGTTTAGTCTTTAGACAAGGCAGCTACATCTTTATTCAGAAGTCTGTAGCATAATGAAGCCAAGTTTCAAAATCATGTATTATGAGATTATCCTGAACAAGTGCTCTCTATACTGTTTGCATTAAGAGATGAGAGAAATAAACAAAATAAACAAGAGGAGACAGTCATAAGCAATGGTATCTTAAAGAAAAAAACTGTTCCCTTTAGAGTCCCCCAGAAGGAGGCTGTCTGAGGTGGGCTTAGAGAACAAAGGGATAAAGAAAACTCCAAATGCAGCAGAAGAAAATAACTGCCAAGACCCCCAAGTGTATATTCATATAGTCTCATACTGTGTGGCAAGACCCTTTTAGCATGCTACAGAAGCTGGAGATGAACTACACATTACCATGTGGCAAACTGGCTCCTAGCTGTATTCCTTGCATGTTACAAGTAATGATAACCAGCAGTCCTCTGGGAACAGACTGCAATGATTTCATCTCTGTAAGCATCTGAGCTCCCCTTGAATAAAGAGACAATTAAACTGAGAACAGAGCGGTAAATTTTAGCCAATATTTCTAATTGGACAGTAAAGCTCACTTGTGCTCAGTTCAACTGAAGACTGCTGATACTTTACCACTGTATATATTGATCACTCCTAAGGATTAAAGGAATCTATAAAGTATTTTAAAACTAATGTTCAGGCTGCACTGTGTGCTTGTGCTTAATACAAAAAAGTCAACCTGCTTTTTTTAATGATTCTGAAAGTTTTATAGTTATTTTGTCCAAAAGATGCACTATCTATATTATTGAATTTGTTTTGAAATATATTGTATCTATTAATGACTGCAGTTGAGCAAAACTATTTTAATATCAATATCCTGTCAATCTGATTTTATTTATATTTACAGTAAAAAATATCACCAAAAGCTGTTTTAATAAGATTTGAATGCAACTTTCCTGCTTTCTGGTAGGGAGTTGGATTGGATGGCCCATGAGGTCTCTTCCAACTCTATGATTCTATGATTCTCTGTATAATCTTCCCTTACTTTCCTGAGATGAGGGTAACACTAGTTTTCTGATCTTATAAAATAAAAAATGACTGTTTAATAAATCATATTTAGTAACATTTAAGGTGTAGGAATAGCCTTCACAGAGACTTTTCTCAGTATCCCACATAATTCCTTGAAAAAAGGTTTTCTAGAACTTAAATATCCACAGAGATGTATATATTTCCGTAAATTGAGAATGGGACTAATTCAAAACTCTTCACATTCTTAATAATGTGGGTAAAGCAGACAGGACTTAAAATTCACCAACATTTGGAGGGACACATGAAAGATTCCCATGCCTGCTGTAGTACCTGTTGCTTATTTACAAATTTACCTTTATAATTTCAGGAAAACTGTATTAAAACTACTATGAAGCAAAAGATGGAAGCCACAGATAGGAGCTAGTTTACAAATAGTCATAATGCAATCCTGAGAAACCAAAATCTGCTTTAGTGAATGCCTTACAAAACTATTCTGACACAATGGAAAACTGACAACTTAGCCTTGTTTTAACAAGCAATTCCTTATCTTTAATTATTTAATTACTTGTTTGTCTCTTACTACCTTGTGTGTCTGCATATAGAATAAGATGCCTGAAATCAAGGGTTAAATGGCTCGACTGTTGCTAACTGCTGTAGACTTCATTTTTTATAGTTTTTCCAAAAGGCAAGCAATTAAAAGAACAATTTATAACAAGAAATCCACCATAGTTTAAACAGTAGAAATAGAATTGGACCAAGTCTTGGGGACTTTTGACATTACACCAATAGTTACTCCATTGTGATTCCACTTTAACTGTCTTAGGGCACTTTCTGACAGTGCCAAAACACAGGTTTTAGAAGAGGGACAAAAAAACCTGACATTGTCTAGACACCCCCTATTTTGAAATGGGAATTCCCATTTCTTAGACACTGTGTGAATGTGGCCTCAGGCCTCTTCTACACTGCCATATAAAATCCAGATTATCTGTTTTGAACTAGATTCATATAATCCAGTTCAAAGCAGATAATGTAGATTATCTGCTTTGATAATCTAGATCATATGGTAGTACAGAAGAGGCCTCAGTGGCATTCTACAGTATCCTGGAGTTGGTACTTTGGTGAGGCATTAGAGCATTCCAGCAGGGAATTCTTTATGTCCCTCCTTAAATTACAAATCCCTGGGTTCTATAGAATGAAAACATTATAATTAAGTACAATTAAAACACTATTAGGTGAGAAAGGGCCTCAAATTTGGGGTTAAACTGAATGTGATTTTTTATGTGAATGTCATAGAGGAAGCAAATTCATGATCACAACAACTTTAAAAACAAGTAAAGGAAGTGACCATTTAACAGCACGTAGAGCTTTGTTTCCTGAATTGCTTGGCCTTTTCATATGTGCTCCTCTTCTTTGGCTTCTGAGGCCCCTTCTACACTGCCATGTAATTCAGATTGTCAAAGCAGATAATCCACATTATCTGCTTTGAACTAAGTTGTATGAATTTGCACTGCCATATAATCCAGTTTAAATCAGATAATCTGGATTTTTATGGCAGTGTAGAAGGGGCCTGAGAAAACATCAACTATGAGAAGGAATTTGAATGGGGCAAAAGCAAACTATAGAGAGAACAAAATATTAAGTCCTCTTTTTTCACATGCTGCAATCTATATAGAGATGCCATTATCACCAACCACAACTTCTAGGTAGTACATTTCCCACTCTTGATTTGGGTGCGAGCCAATAACCGGTATAACATAATATCTACATCCCCATTGGAATAAATGATAGGACCCTCAAATAAAACAATGAGGGTTAGCTATACCTAACCAAAAGGTTCAGATTCAACAACCAGTTATGAACTTGCTAGCTCAAAAAACAAATAAACATCTAGAATTAATTATTATATTCTAATATTATACAATATCCAAAATATAGTATATAATATAGCTATAATATTAGAATATTTAGCAAACAGAATGGAAAATGTAAGATGATCAAGGATATGACAACTTTTAGGAAACCATACATGCCAGCAATGCAAAGCAGTGTAACCAGTGCCTCCTTTTTTAAACAGACAAGGATGCAATACAAATGTCTATATGATTAAAAAGCAAATATGCAGGCTTATGAAGACATGTTTATCATTCAGGTTCATTATATTAGCACTTTATTTATTTATAAAACAATTTTTCAACCAATTTGTGGAGAACAAAAATTAACTTTTTACTTTATTTTAAGGGGGGGGGGGGAATCCTAAAATAGAGAAATTGGTCCCGAAACAGTCAAATACATAGTGACTATGCTCCAGAGATATGGAATATTAACTGACATTTAGGACCGAAATCTAATGAAGAAGTTGGAAAAGTGCCCTGGAAAATCATGGCTGGTTTGCTGGAACTCAGCAGGAACATTTGACACTGCTCAAAGCTCCCATTCATCATTTCTACAGGTAAGTTAATGTTACAGTCAGAAAAATGCGATAAAACATTAATCACTTAAACTTACAAGTATCGCCATACTTTCTTCTCCAGCTGAATGATATACTAAAGCTAAACAGTAGGCAGCTTCTCCTTCCATCTTCTTACTCCCCACTAAATAAATAAATAAAGACTACAGTTATAACTTACCATGTTGATGAATTAAGACTACAGTTCTTTTTTCATTATCTTGATTTCAGGGCCTTAAATTTTGCAAATGCACAAATACAGTCAACAAAGAATGAATGTGTTAACAGTAATTTCAGATCTCTTGCTTTCACCTTCCACACAATGCTACAAGTACCTCTGATCCAAGACATGCAAGTGTAATAGAACTGAAGTGTCAATTCAGAAGTAGTAATCAGGAAAGGATCTTAACTTTGTTTCTATATTTACTGCAGCAAAGTCATAATTATTTTATAACTACTAAGTCTTTACCTCTAAAGGATAGCCAATTTTATTAGCATAGCCTCTAAAATGTAAAGTTACACATTATCACACAATTGCAAAGGTATGCCCCCCTTCCAGTTGCGTGTGCACGGGCGATACACCTCCTTCCGCAGCCTCAATAAAACCACTCACACAAGGGTGTTGGGATAAACAATGGCCACAACTCATTTATTGACAACAGGAACAAGGGTTGGCAGCCATGCATGGGCCCTGGATCAGGATCAGGCAGACCACTGCTGTCCGATACCGCGAGACACGCCAGGGTGCCGTCGGCACAATACCGGGCCCAATGTAAACTCGGTACCCCTGAGACCACCAGGCATTCCCCCCTACTGCTAGGGGGGGATACCAAGCCAAATCCAGGGCCCATGCCCTACGCCAACCAGGAGTTGTGACGAGTAGCACCAAAAACAAGCAATAGAGAATAGGTAACTGGGATAACTTAACAAAACAAGCTAACTGTAGACAATTACTCGAACCGCATGCAGGGTGGATGGGGCGGATCAGATGTTGCAGGCACAGTGCCTGCTGGGGAGCATGGGGCAGCCTTAAGTAGGCTGCCCATGAGGCACATCTTCATGAGTTGAATGTTTATACAGATCAGGGCCGTGAGAACGAAACAAAAACAAAAAACAGAGGTCCTTAATGCTAAAGAGTTTGTTCTGGTATAAGCAGCTTTTTTAGTACCAGACTTGCTTTGGTGTTCCTTCAGAGTGAACATTATGAGTAAATATAAGGTGATTAACAAAACAGCTGGAGGCATGGCTGGCTAGCCGATTGGGCCACCCGGGAAACCTTCCCACCGAGCGAGGGGGCTTCTGGGAGGAAGAAGCCCCCCCTTTGGCAAAATGGCAGCGGAGGACGCCCTGCACCACAACTTCCCTGGCCCGGTAAGCCGGGCCATGCCTTTTATTGGGTTAAAGGATATTTGGCATTTAAAGTGCAAAGAAACACATTCTTCTTGTGGGAGTTTTGACTGAACATACAGACATTTTGAGGGGATTCTGACAGAACAAACTTTAGGAACAAAGCCATCTTTATTTTCTAAGGAATAATCCCTCCAGGAAAAAAAATGTCTGTCTCACATTCACATCAATGATCTCCAGAATAAATCTTCAAAAACAGGATTCTGAAGATTAATTTTCAACTACACATAGAAATAAAGAAATATACAGTGCTTGCATTCAAATTATCTGGTAATTGCAAACACCAAGGAAACACATAGCATAAACATTACCATATATGCTGGAGTATAAGCTGAGTTTTTCAGCTCTTTTTTAGGCTAAAAAAGCTCCCTTCAAATTATACTCAAGTCAAGGTTATTTATTATTATTTTACTCTGTTGCTATTATTAATATTATTATTACATTTATTATTTTACTCTATTATTTTTATTATTATTACATTTACATTATTTTACTCTATTATTACTTTTACATTTATTATTTTTCTCTATTTATTATTATTATTACATTTATTATTTCTCTCTATCATTACTGTTATTATCACATTTCCATTATTATACTCTGTTATTATTATTATTATTATTGGAAGGATATGTAAGCACATTTACATTGAAGAAGGTTAGAATAATCATTTAATCAGAGTTGGAAGTCTTATCTTAAATTACAGTTTTATGTAAATATTCAAAAACATTTAACTTATTGATGCCTCAATTAATTTAATTTTATTGGTATCTATTTTTATATTCAAATTTACCAGTAGATGCTGCATTTCCCACCCTCGGCTTATACTCGAGTCAAAACGTTTTCCCAGTTTTTGGTGGTAAAATTAGGTACCTTGGCTTATATTCGAGTCAGCTTATACTCGAGTATATATGGTAAGTTGCTTCCCTGCAAAGACTACATAGTTTAGGTGCCAAGTGTTGCTAGATGTGAAATACAGTCAATCATTGTTAAGTCAGGATCTTACTGGCTGTATTCACCCAAAAGTTATTTTGCATTGCACTGTTGTTCCTTATTTTTAAGTCTTTTGCATTTAAAATTATTTATATTTGCCATTTAACTATTTTAGACCAATGTGTGACTTTCTCCATACTGTACTTTTTATTTCACTTACTTGCTTTACATATTAATGGCCTCTGTAATTTAACACATATAAGTATTTTAATCTTTCCATGTATTTGAAACTGTCAGCACTGAGACCATTTCAAAAACCTTTTCCTAATAATTAACCTTTTAAATTAATAAGGGTTAAGAAATTTAATTGAATGATAAAGCTAATCAGCTCTAAGTTAAAAACGTATGATCTTATCTTCATAATTATTCAGATCTATCAAACAAGCTACATCAATAAAGCAATGGTGAATAATCATTTAGAACTTTGGCAGTGACCTTACTTGCGATTATGCTTTCATTGTTTTACAGCAGCACTCCCAGAAGGGTGCATTTTTGGAGTTAAAAGCTTTCAAGAAATAAATGGACTCCTACTTGTCAGCAAGTAGGTACTTTTGTTTCACAACAAGATTTAGAAATATATTGATAGCATTTGTCTTGAATTTCATCGAAAATAATCACCAAACACTTGACGATGTTTTTTACTTTCCTCCTGGGAAAGCCCAGGCCTGCACATTAAAGAAAGAAATGCAGGCGTGTTATTTTCTACCCACCTTCTTTTGCCATTTCCAAAGCTTTTATTAGAATTTTGATGGCCTGTTGGTGTTCTTTATTTCCTAGCATTTTGTCTGCTAGTAATGTGTAAATCCTCCAGAGATGCTCACAAGCTAGTGAATTGAAAGTCCGGCCCGTATCATCTTTCCACATACGGCCCACTGTCAATTGATGGAATGCTTCATAATGTTCTATAGCTTTCAGGAATTGACCTGAGGAAGACAAGTCAGTCATAATGATAAGAAAATGTATTTTGTAACGTATTGTGAAGTCATCATCAGATAGCCCATATTACAAAATGATACTTGTTGATCAAAAGAATCCTATGTGATAATAAACTTATGGAAAAACTTTTGACAATGCAATGCCATGGATGAAAGAAAAAATGTGACTATAGCTACATTGGAGGAGGACTGTAATACATGTTTTACTTCACAGATAATGCTGCATTAATGAATAGGGTTAGCACGCTAAATTTAAAGAAATTAGATGTGCATTCTGGTTCGCAGCATAATAAAATTTATTTCTAACAAGTGCAGTTTCAGAAGTTTCCACTCATAAACTTCAATATGCATACTTCAGTTAATTTGCCACTTCATCACACTAAAGAATCAATCTAATTTAAATCCAGTTGCTGCCTCCTGCAAAATTCTAGGGTTTGTAGTTTAGGGAAGAGCCTTTAACATCCTCACTAAACTACAGACCCCAGAATTCTGCAAGAGGCAGAAACCAGATTTAAAGTGGATTCATTCTCTAGTTTGATGAACATTCATGTCAACTCTGCAAAGAGCTGAATCGAATGCAGATCCCCATATATCATGACTGAATTAAAATTTTTGATTAAAGGTCCACTACTGTTTTATATAATCAACTAACTGGGCTGCTATGCACAGTCTTTTCGCTTATCACTGGAGCAAGTTCCAGGGCACCTCTCCTTATTACCCTGTCAAGAACGCTATTGTGGAAAAACTTGATCTAGGCTGTTAACAGCTATTACTCCTTGCTAAAGCTTCCTCTCTTGATGAAGATACACAATTACGCTGCATTGCCACATGAACCAAGAGAGAAAATCACTGCAATATGCATTGCAGTGAGTTGAAACACATATCTTAACCCCCTCCCTGTAGAATTGCAATTAGAAATCAGGAACAAAGCCCACTATTATTAAGGAAAAATAAGAATACTGTAAGTTTTTTCTCATCAAACAGAAACAGTTTGTTGAAATTCATCTTTATAATCTGATGTGCTTGATAGTTATTTGGCTATTGATTCCATTGCTAACTTTTAAAAGATAATATTTTGCAGCCAATATTGTAAAGGGAGCTGAAAGTCTTCAAAGAGACAAAGAAAATAATTTCCACAAATAATACTGCTCTGAAAAAGATGCACTTCCAATGTATGCATCAACAGAAGACAAAAGAAGCTGATTTGGACAATGATATCATACAGAAGTTGTAAGCAAGTAGCACCTTATAAAGAAAATAAAAATGGAAATTTATTTTTCTGACAGGAAATTACAGTATACTCATGTTTCCCTGAAAATAAGACACTTATACTTATTTTTCCTCAAGAAGACACCCTATGGTTTATTTTCAGGGGATGTCTTATTTTTATTAAGTATGGCACAACAATCTACAGCAGTTTTATTGGTGTTTGTGAATGGTGAGAGAGACTCACAGACTGTTGCTGGTTGGTGCTGAGTGAGAGAGACCCATAGTGCTGGGTAAAATGGCAGCCACAGCTTTACTTCTTCCCCCTGAGGACACACAATACCTAAAGCAGAGTGTCCTGCTCCTCACTTCACTGAGGAGACTTTTACTTTTACTTTTACTTTCTATGTCTCCTCTATGCCTCAGCTTGCACCAAATACAGAACGACTGGGACCTGACAAGGGGGAGCTGGTCTTGTTGATGAGATTGCCCACACTTCTCTGGTCACATTGCCAGTATGCTGCAAAGCCATGCCTATCACTATGTCTTATTTTCAGGGGATGGTTTATATTGTGCAAGTGTTTAGAAATCCTGCTATGGCTTATTTTATGGGTATGTCTTATTTTATGGGAAACACAGTAGCTTCAGGATGATATAAGAATGTATTATGTGGTGTCAAACAATTGGGGGACACATTGATATTCTTACAGAAAAAAGGATGGCTAGAGGATAGAGTGGGTAGATGATAAGTTATTATTTCATGTTAAGTTTTAGTTACTTTCTTATTGTTTTTATAAAAATGATCCCTCAAACCAATATTTTAAAGTAACTCCCTAAAAACTAATATTACCAGTCAGACTACATTACAAGCAAGCACACACACACATTTTTATGAACCCATTACCCATAAAAGTATTATATGGTATACTATATTGTGACTTGTAAGATGCTAGTTTCAAGCTTTGGAGATGGACAACACCAAATGCTGTTGGATTGCAACTACCAGTCCTAAGCAGCATAGCCAATAGTAGTGAAGCTGCTGGTTTTAGTCTAATAACATCGGGAGGGTGACATCTTTCACCAATATACTACAGAATGAAGTTATGTTGAAAAACCTAGCAACTCAGTTGGATTCGATGGTCATGGCAAAGCACTGCATTAGATAAAAACATACAGATATATACCATCTGCATTTACTTTTTCTCATAATTTATTAGGGTAAGCAATACACTTGGTCAGAGGCATCCAAAAATTGGCAGTGCTTTGCATGTCTATTATGTACAAAAATGAAGGTGCTAAATATGTTGATTTCATACCCTCGCAAGCTGATATTCCATTTTAAGAACTTAAAGAAATGGTCAAATATAAAGATTTAATATTAAAAAGATCACAAAGAATGTGGAAATTAGCTCCTGTGGAGAATGTTGGGGAACTGGTTGTGTGTAGTTTGGAGCAGAGAAAATTGGAGGACAACATGATATATTTCAATATCTGAAGGGATGACATGCAATAGATTGAGCAAGATTTTATTGTGCTGCTCCAGGGATTAGAATATAAACTAGGGAGTTCCAATTATACAAAAAAGGGAATAAACCTAAACAAGAAAGCAAGAACATTCTGATCACAAGGGCTGTTTGACAATGGTATTGATTGGAGAGCACTGTCCCCCATTTTTTCAAGCAAAAGGATAAATAAAAAGACTAAAATCATATTAAACAACAAGTCAAAATAGAATAAAAAGGTTAAAATGGCATGCTTGGATGTTTGGGAATAAATCAGTTAGGTTCCACACCCTTGAATAATATTTTTACTTGGAGCAAAATGAAGCCACTGCCAACCAGCCCCCAAGAGAAGGACATTCCACGTTTGGCATGCCGTAGCTGAAAAGTCCCTCTTCCACAGAGGATTGACCCCACCAGTGGGACAGAGGAGGGAAATTTCTGTCACCAAGCATAAGCATATGTGCTACTTTAGATCAAGGTCACAAAATGTTTAATGTCATCTTAAGAACCTTGAAATTTAGAGTAGATTCGCAACTGTCATCTGGTTCACATATTACACATGCTTATTTTGGAAGAGTTGTCACAAAAGTATAAGAAAATATGCCCATAAAGACAGAAGTTACTTCTGGTCAATAAACCTAGTTCAACCATGACATATTATACTCATCCAAATAAGCATTCAGGGATGCATGCAATAGTCCATGAAAACGAGAGACAGAAATAAGATGGACCAAGAAAATAATATCTTATTAATTTGAATGTCATTAATTTGCTTATGAAAGACTGGAAAAATTACAAGAGTTTATTCACAAATCTAATGGCAACATAATTTTACTGTTTTTAGATCATGTATTTAGACCAAGGGTGGCCAAGTCTGTATTTGTGGTGACAGCCCCCTATGAAAACATTGTTAATCTTCAATGGAAATGTGTTAAAAGTAATTAAAGCACAAACTTTCTACAAAGGGATGTTTTGTGGTTTGCTGTTAAAACTCCAAAACAAATTTGAAAGCTCTTTGAAACATGCGTTTTTGTTTTGATTTTTTTCTAGTTACCAAATTTTGGTGGTACAGTGGCCAAGAGGATGGTTGTAATCCATAGAAGGGGCGACGGTTGCCAGAATTGTCAAAGCTGCCCACCATAAGGAGTTGAGGGAAATCACAACATTCATACTTAAGGGAATAAACCACCACCACCGGTTAACAGTTAAACATTCAGAATTATTTAAGCTTTTTTAACTGCTTCTCTAGATGACATTTTTAACGCTTGCAATTGTAGTGCAAATATCTATTGCTATTGAAGGCATGTTTAAACAATAACACAATGAAACAAGTATTACAAAAATAATAAACAATATGGGGAATGCATATACAAAACATGCTTAAATCACGAGTGTATAAATCTGTGATCCTGCGGCTACACGTGGTCCCAGGCTTTTCTGAAGTTGGAGGAACCATACAACACTCAAAGCTATCTGCAGGCTTTTGAAATCCGTGTCTTCCCACTGCTAATAGCTGTAGATGGCCAGTAATCCCCGTGGAAACAACTGAGGGATGAAGGGGATGTTCATTTCCCCTCCACTTCAGCAATCCCTAGATCTCAGCAAGCATGCTAGGCCTGAAAATTAAAAATCTGACTTGTATGTGTTGGGAAGCACATACAAGTCTGTATATGTATGCACGTGGATGAGTGTGAGCTGGACAATTTAATGTAGACAATTTGCAGTTGTAGTTAGGTATTGACAGTCTTTCCCAGGTATGGCGGTGTCGAGTTTAATTTTCCAAGGGGTCTGTGTACTTCAGCACAGTCTTTAAGGGAAGTTGGAACTGTCAGCCAATGAATTTAAAGCTAAAGTTGAGTTTGTTTACTGGTAGGCCTGGCTGGAATGACCCAGATATGTTTCACTCTAGTTAGGGAAAGGGGCATGTTGGTGCTCATCTGATCTTCTGAGTGCTATCCCACCCACCCACTTTCTATCACATTGGTTTTATTTTGTGTTTATATAACACATGACATTTTTCAAATAACATTTATGTCAATTCTATTTGTTACAACCTTGGGGAAGGATTGGCATGAATCCTGCATCCAGGACATGTATGACCAGTGTCACTCGGTAATGCATAGGTGCTCCCTAATGGGGCTCGGGGGTGCATGGGGAAGAATCAGTCTTGCCTGACCCCTGATGGTAGGAAAACTATGCTTAGGGCATCTGTCCATGGGGATCCTTTGCTGTCATTCCAAGGGTTCTCGTACTAGGGCAGAGGATTCAGATCATTGATCA